ATATATGGTTTGGTAAAATTGGTACACACAATGTAACACCTATAAATTTTACTCTCTTAAGGCAAGCAAATAAAGGTCAGGTTTGATTCTTATGGTCTGTTCTGATTTATTAAACTAAACTGAACTGAACTAGACCGAATTGATTGGAGGTGAATTGAACTAAATAGAACTGAAATTAGGAGCTGAATTGAAATGACTGAACTAATTGGAGCTGAATTGAAATTCAGCTGAAGAGAATAGACCCTTAGTAAGGAGCTAAAAGATCGATGTTGAGAGATCGAGTCCTTGAATCGGTTAATAGTTTAAGTTAACCTAGATGCGTCCAATTAAGGCTTGATGGCATTACAACAAGAATATGTTCATAGGTAAACTTACCATAAACTTATCGTGAAACATGAAAAAATCACCCCTAAACATAATATTATGGAACCATTAGTTTTTAAAAATATATAGAAAACGATAATCAAGTTAAGCCATAAAATATGGTCAAGTACATACGCCTCATACAAGATTTTGGATTATCAATCTACGATAAGATTTGAGTCAAGATTCTTTCTTGTAATGATTTATTATAGGTTTCTTAAATTATCCCTTAAAATGAAAAAATAGAGGGGTATATGCCTGTAAAAAAAAAAAAAAAAAAAAAAAAAAAAAAAAAAAAAAAAGAAGAAGAGATATGACCCAAGGTTGTAGTGCGTAGCATGAAATGATAAAGGTATTCTCATAGTGACTGAGCATCACTGCTTTTTCCCAAAGGAATATCAACTTTGCCATCAATCAACTAATATGAGTTTAGCTTTGGTGTTTAGTGGAAGATGTAATGATTAGTAGTAAGTACTACTTATGATTTATAACAAAGAGTTATATTTTTAATTTAGGTTCCCATGAATTAGTTTTAATGAGGGATTATTCCTGTCAATTTTAGAATTTGGAAATAGCCATTATCCCAACTTCTTGCATGTCCCTACTAGTAGGTTTAATCAAGAATAATTTGCCTAGTATGCTACTCCTAGTTCGTATCTATCTATCTATCACACCTAACATATCTACGCTTACTAAATACTCCTATTACTTTCAATTGATTTTCCTTTATGTTTAGGTTGATCGCCTAATTCTAGATAAGATCACAAGGAATCACCCTCATAATGTGAGTCAATGTAAAATTACATTATTGAGGGCAAGACTTCAACGGAATAGTCTAACGAGTACCTATTTTAAGACATTAAAAGTTATCTCAAAACTGTCTTAATTAAAAATTCATTATATGTCCGTGGTAGCAATATTTTTGCTAAAAAACATGATACATTTTTTTAAAAGATGCATTTTTCGCTTTAGTTTTGTGGTAGATGTACAAATATCCCTGTATATCGTCTTGAGACTTTTTAGTTTTTATTATGAAGTAGCTTTTGTTCAAAACTTTAAAAGCCACTTTAAGCAAACACATGGTGTAAATTAAAGTAAATATTTGTGAATATTAACTAGCATTAATTTATGTACAACACAAATTCACTTCATATGTTTTTAGTAAGAATACATACATTATATTTACATTATTTATTTACCTATTTTTATTTTAGTTCAAATTTTAGCTATGAAGTCAACTTGGTATTTTTTTAGAATTGGATTTATCTAAACTATTTTTTTCCAAATCTATCTCATTTGAACCTATGTGAGCAAGTAACCTTTATTTGAACTTATTTTTCTAATGACCTAAATCTATATATAGTACTACATAACTCTACATGCAACCTTCAAAATTATCTTTGGTATATGGATTAGTAAAAATGTCTAGAGTTTACGGACAATCCTCTTCGTTGCTATAATTAAACATTGGGTAAATATGAATGGCAATGATGCTTGGCGTGATTAGTTAGCCATTAGATCAATTTCGCCTTTTATTACTGATTTTCATTATGAGTTTAGATTAAACAAAAAGTGTTGCTTTAATTCTATATATCTTATTGTAGAATTTAATGATGATCATGTTAAAATAATATTAATAAAATAGTTATTAAAATAATTTATTTTTTTTTAAAAAAAAAAAAAAAAAAAAAACAGATAGAGCAATGAATGGCCACCAAACAGCACAAGCACGGCAAAATTGATGATGTGGGGAATTTAATTAATGAAATACTATAATGCAGGCATTTTTCATTTCTCATACGAAGGGACCAATTTTAATGATTAGAAAAAGAAATAGAAAACAATAAGCACTTTTAAAGGACCCTATTTAACTAATATACTAATAATCTCTTCTTAATAAATCAATGAGATTAGTGCATGCTGATTGAAGCACCATCTTCTAATAGGCTATTATCTTCTTTTTTCCGTTAGAATTTTGAGGAATGATTGGCTTCTTAATGTACACAATATTTCTTTGAAATGATACCACTATATATAATTATACTATATGTTTATAAGAGCAATTACTTCTTTTCTTACTTTATATTGGATGGGTTTATGAGATGGACCAAATGGTATAAGATTGTCTTTTGATGCACAAGAATATAGTTGAAGATATCAAGTCTCAACTACAACCACTACATATGATTTGCCGACTTTAGCCTAATTTAGCATACAAACTTTACCTTTGTTCTTATTTCTTTCTCGTATGAGATATATATATATATACTTGGATCACTCGGTGTAGGTATGAGATATATATGATTACGAAGATGTATATCTTCTTTAAAATATAGCACAATAATATATTAATTTGTCATAATTGTTGAGTTATTTGAAGAAACATTACTAAGTACTCCATAACTTTTACGGAGTACCAATTAATCTAATCTTAAGTTTCTAGGTCAGAGATGGAGAGTATAAAAAAAAAAAATAGTAGGCGAAGACAATAATGTTTTAGAGATTCCTATGGTAGGAATATACCAAACTTGTCAAAAGATCTAAAAAAATCTTGATCATGCACATCCTAAGCAATTGGCAAACCATAATGCGCCAAGAAAACCAATGAATTGACGGGAAAATGTAGAAGAAACCCTTAGTTATTTCAATGATATGATTTGAACAAGAGTGGGGACTAGCTCGCTCTAGCTAGGGACGTTAGTACGTAGCTAGGCTTTATAAATTGCTGCTGCTGGCTTTGTTGTTACGCTGATAAGATTAGGCACTTCAGGCCCATATCACATGAACCATTATATCAATCTCTTTAGTCCAATCAAACGCATGACCGTTAAATTACCCCTTTTGTCTCTTAAAGTTTGTCATTAGATTTCTTATGTATGTACTATTCGTTTTAAATTTGCTTATACCATACAGAATAACGGTTACAAAGGACTACAATTGTCACTATGGCAAAGTTAAGAATGAGTTGCGAGGAAACAAATGAAAACGGAGGATGTATTATTACGGATTAGTACTATTTCAGCTTTTATAAAATAGCTATTTAAGAAGTTTAGTCTCTTTACAAAGGTAGTTGAAATTGAATGGGGTAGTTAGCAATTAATTGACTACCTTGATAGCGGCTAATATTGGAATTTTTGAAAATAAATTATTGAAAAGAAAGAAATTGCATGGACGAGGAAGTATGAACTGGCCAAATTTAGGCGAAGAAGATCTTGTTTGGATTCATGGAGTATGATATAACTAACCGTGTGGACCCTTTGGTAACGATTTAATGACTTCTGTACCAAACCTTTTTGAACTACTTCGTATAATCATAATCAGTATACATATAATAAACAGATATACTCCACCTCTCTAATACTTTATTCTATTTTAAGTTGTACCATATTGCATACTCATACTAACTTTCACTAAGTAACACTATAGTTTAACACTTGACAATAGAGAGGAGGTAAGAGAATCTCTCTCTACTCCCAAGCAAATATAATTGATCTCGCACGAATTCGTGAGTCGTGATCTCAAAGTCACAAGGTGAATTAGTTAATTGTATTACAGTGATTTTGTAGATATATGTCATTTCTGTAATAACAATACAATTTTTTAAGTATACCTTTTCATTCAATTTTTTTTTATTTTCTTACTTAAATATTTATGGCTATTAAAACACATTTAAATCATTTTATTTTATCAAATACTATATTTTAAGTTGACCATGAGTCAAGAAGTTTGTAGAATCATCTAAAAAATTGATTTGATTAGAATATATTTAAATGGAGTATTTGTTTGTTATTGCACACGTGATGAGAAGCTAGAATCTTAAAACAGAAGCAAATGTGGAAGCAAAAACACAGAAAATGAGGAGGGTGTCAAAATCGGGTATTATAGTGGAAACAAAGACCACTATCTTAAGACACAATGAGCTCAAGTTTCCATTCGCAATCATTCTTAGACGATAATATGTCTGCTTAGTGCATTTTTGTTGTTCAACATTTTCTAGTGCTTTTTATTTTCTTGTACTTCTTAAAGAGAAACATGCCATTCACATAATTTTAAAGTCTTACTAATTCAAGTTTGTTTTCTTTCTTCTTCCTTGATTGGATATTAACTATGCATGTACAAGACTCTACTCCGTAATAAATAATATTAAAAATATTTTCAAATACTATTTTAGGTTGCACCATGCTCCGGAAAGTAAGGTTGAGCATCATGAAATTAGATGGTGTTTTCTAACGCAAACTTATTGAGGAAACCCGAGTTTTAATCAAACTAATTTTTAAAAATGAGTGTCAAAGATTTGATATTTCAATTACTAGGTTCATTTGGCATGGTGAATTCGTATTAAAGGTTTAAGGCAGAGGGTAAAAAAAAAACTCAAAGATGGTGGACCTTTAATAGGCTGAACCAAATTTTGAATCAGTTACAGAAAATTTGTGTGGCAAATATCTGAATTCTATCATTCTCAACCATACAAATTCTTGGCTACATTCTAGTGCAGTCAAGCTAGCTGCAACAACATTAAATATGAATATATAGTACGTTAAAATGAACATACGTTTTTTTTTCTTCCTTATTTCTTAATTCTCTTTTTTCTTCTTCCTTAGCTCTATTATTTTTCTCTCTCTTCAGTTTTCTTCTTAATTTAAAATTTTCTCTCTCCTCTTTACCTTACTTCCCTTCAATCTTTAAAGTTTTCTTCTTCTTTATATAAAATTTTGAGTTAGTAATTTGTGTTTTGATGGGTATACTCCTTTCTTTCTAAATCTATGAGTTTCAGATTCAATCATTTGGCTTTATCAAAGAGGAAAGAAAAAAATGGAGGAGAGAGAAAGTTGAGGTCAAAGAAAACAATGGAGGTTAGATTTTATCATTTTGTAATTGTATTTTGTATGATTTCGTTGATCATGCATGATAATTTATTGTTTGATTATTTGAAATTATTATGAGTCTGTGATGAATATCAATTAAATTGCTTAATTGTTAATGAATATCAATTGTATTGCTTAATTTGTAGTTATTTTCTCTCTCCCCTATCTTTCTCTCTCTCTTTTGATTTTTTTCTTTTGATTTCTAATCATGTTACAAATCAATAATTATTTTCTCTATGATGAATCAAGATTAGATTTAAGGTGTATAATCAATTTTTTAGAGTTTCAATAATTACAATCGATCTTGAATATAATTTCTGTAAAAAAAAACTGAATACGTAGGAATTTAAAATGAACATCTTTTACAAAATGAGCATTTAGTACACCGAAAATGAATATTAAATACATAAAAAATGAACATATTTCAACAATTTATTTTATCTTTATTTTTCATTAATAATTATGTACAATGAATTTGAACCTTTATGAAAATCATGTTCATTTTAATATCCTAAATGTTCATAACTTTTTTTTACATGTTCATTTTATAAGTGTTCATTTTTTAATACTAAATGTTCATTTTTATTAGGTTGAAGGTAAAATATAATACGTTGAAAGTTAAACTATCTGAACATTTATGTTGAAAATCTGAACAATTTATTATGAATATATATGTTTCGTTATTCTTTACGAACATATCTGTTATTGATTATGAACACATATGACATATAGAGTGAATATTATTTATATTTTTAAGTATTGTATTGATGATTATATATTTTAAACATTCTAAATAATTATTATGAAGATATTTTGTGATGATTATGAAAATTTTGATTATTTGTTATATTTTAGTGAGTACAGATTAATTGTATCTGTAGAAGACAAAGACTCTGAATTAGTGAAGAAACAACTAAGAAGTGATGAAGAAGTATGTGATATGTACAATGAATTTTCCTTTAAGTTGGAGAATTTCCGATGTATATGATCCCAATTTTATGGTTGTATGATAAAGGTTCATTTCTAATATACTAAATGTTCATTTCTTTTTTTTTTTTTGACATGTTCACTTTTTATTACCGAATATTCATTTTTATTACTGAACATTTATTTTTTTGTGTTCATTTTTCTAACTAAATGTTCATTTTTAAGGTCGTGGTCTAGCAAATTTATGATTATATGATAATTAGATTCATTTTTAATAAATGATCATTTCCTTATAACATGTTCACTTTTTAGTATTAAATGTTCATTTTTTGTTATTATATGTTCATTTTTTTTTATGTTCATATTTTTCAACTAAATGTTTATTTTTTATTTGGGCCGCGCGTTTTGGGCCTCACTTGTTGTAACTATCTTAGCCGCATTAGAGTGCAGCCAAGACCAATTGTCTCAACCAGGCTACGTAATATAATGAAGGTGGATCAATTTAATTTCTTGCCTGATCCAAGCCCATCAGCGCATTCCTTTTACAGAACCAACAACCAAGGCCTTCGCTAATGCCCTCAGTTTGCAAACGCAAGATATACAGACTACATAGTACATTATTCTGAACTCATGCTAATCTTTCATCATCATACTCGCTAATGTAGAAATTATGAAGGCGCGATATGATGGTTCTACCCAAGCGCACTTTAAGCAATATTCCCTCTATCTAAAGGGCAAAGTTCCGCCACTCTACATCCTAGCTATCGGCCTGTCAACTAAGGATTTAAAGAATGCAATGAGCTCGCTCTTCAGCTTCTTGTTCAACAACTTCTGCCATCACATTTGTTCGATGCCACGAAAGCCTCAAGTTGCCCTACTATAGCCAAGCTAATTTCTAAGAATATTACAGGTGATCTTATTTATAGTTATGGTAAATGAAATACACAATTTTCTAATACTAGTATTTGTTATCTCCCATCCATTAATTCAATACAGTAAGACTTGTTAAACTAGGCATCTTATTTCAAACAAAGGTAAGACTGTAAGAAAGAGAACTTCCAGTACTTAGTTAATTTCTTAGTTCTACAAATGTAGCAACGAAAAACAAAAAGAACTCAAAAGAGAAGCCATCAACACCAAAAACACAGGTACTTTAGCTTTTAAGAGGAGAGTGGTAGAGTCGTAGAGCTATAGATATTTAATAGAATGATACAGTCCAATACGGTAGGTTAGAGATGATAAATACAGATATAAAGTTGTCATATGATAAAAGCAAATGTGAATAACACGATCAAATTGGAAAATAGTGCCATAGATGTATGTTACTAATTGTACTCATTGTTTGAATAATGAACGAAAAGTGAAAAAAAAATCCATCCATGATAGGGTTCTTGTTTCCCTTTTCCTGTTCCACTAATCCACCAACAACGCAACTATCCTTTTGTTTCATTATTTGAAAGTTGATATAACAGAGAGCATTAATTCACAGTTGTAATGATTCAGCGACTATATATTTTTGGTAGAACAGAGAAAAATTAACATTATATTTCATCTTACTAAAAAAAATTTGGGGACAGATTCACCGACAGTCGACAGAGGAAGAGGGAACACCATAAACTCATAAAGCATAGAGTTTGTTTAGTGCACACAACAATTTCATTTCAGGCGCAACAGATTGATTAAATTAATTAATTGATGTGATGTAATCACGTCAAGTTTTCAAGTTACAAACACATAAAATTGACGACAAAGAATGCAACTTATATACAGCCAGAGTAAAGTGACAAATTTGCAATATCAAGAATTTTGATATTCTACAAGACTAGCCAAGCTACAGAAATTTTATGCAATTCCCACACTTTCTGGATACTATAGATTTGTAGTGATCAAATCTCATAAAATGGAGCAAAAGAAATACGAAGTAGATATCTAGACAGTCATCACATGTTTTCCAATGGCCAAAAATTAACTTTTTTTTAAAAAAAAAAAAAAAAACACAGCAGTGCTGTGTAATGGTCTATGAGGTCTTCTGATCCCTTTACAGGCTTCAAAGCACAAAAATAGAGGTTGTTTGATTGGTTTGTTGTTAAAAAAATTAAATATAATAATAAAGAAAGGACAATCAACTTACAAAAAAAAAGTGCATTAAAAGAGAATTTGCTTTTGATATGCTGTAAAACTTCAGAAATGCTGCTTACAAAAAAATGTTTCTCTCAAATCAAATACTCGTATTCAGGAACCTATTTCTATTTACATGACATGGTAAATTGGTAATGCATCCTTAATAGATACAAAAAGGTTGGTATTTCAGATGGGAACTAAATAAAGAATGTGACGAATCCCAGAAACTAGTAGTGCAAAGTTTTTTACAAACTAAACAATAAAGAAGATAAACACCACCAAGAAAAAAATCAAAACACCAAATAGTTTGAATAGCAAGGACCTGTTTGATGATATACGAGTTAAATGTTTCAGTAAAGCACTGTGAGCACCTTCCACATTGCTCAGGGACTCTTCCATGTTATCGTCAATCCTTGTTGCAACAAAGGTCTAATTAGAATTTATGAGCAAATTATGAATCAAACTAAATGCAAATGGTTGAGCTCTACAAATGACTATACACCCAATGACCCAAACAAATGTGATTTTAAGCAACCTGGAGGGTGATGATTATTTTTTTTAAAAAAATGCCAGCATATACATATGGATTATAGAAGGTGATAAATACAGTTACAAGACCAACCTAATTAGAAGCTCCCCCTGATGCGCAACCGTTGTAGCCAGATGCGTAAAGATCCCACTTAACTCTGAGATTGTAGATTCTACATTCTGGAGAGCTGTGGCACGATAATGATTCTCTTGCTGAGGAGCAGCTTGCTGAAGCATAGACATTTCCATGTTGTTGGATGGTATAGTCTCGGTACCCATTCTCCGCCTGCAGTAGCAAATTCCAAGTAATATAAGGCAATGGTTACCTCTCAAGAGTCTCAACTCTAAAGCAGTACACACGATTACCTTCAGCTTAAAACAAAGCATCTGCTACTAACTTTAAACAACTAAGCAAGCAAAAAACTAAATTTGGTTAAAGAAGATACCTAAGTTGACTCCCGGACTGAGCTCCACTTGATGATTGTCTGCTGGGCAAAGCACACAATGATTAGAAAATTGATGCCGATAGTCAGAACTTATATTATGCCTACACAGATGCAATGCAAGAGGTTGCTGTAAAGCTATGTAATTGCATTATAAACATAGCAGGTCTAAAGATTATGGACGAAATTACTGACAGGGTAGGTTGCACACTTGCAGAGACATTTGATGAATTCGACCATGGAGGTGGCTCATTTATGGCTTTAGCAGAACGCTGAAACGGATTATCTCTAGATGCATTAGCTGAAAATAACTGTTTCCTGGTTTCATGGGCCTTGATATTCTGTAAAGCAGAAGAAAATGACAAGTACGTTAAACAAATACTACGTAATAATAATAATAAAGCATAGCAGTGAATTCAAAACTTCCACCACGTAAGACATGCCTCTGTTCTAGTAGTCAATACTTCCTGGAACTGCTTTGTAGCTGCCATCAGTCTGTTTTTTATGTCATCACAAACAGCATTTGCATGAATGGCCTTATCATCTGAATAACTTTTAGTTGTTTCACTGTTTTGAAGATTTTGTAGATCTGCAACTGCTACATTGAGTGCCGTAATATCGTCTTTAATCAACGCAGTGAGCTCTTGTATCTCTTTCGTAGGATCGTTAAACATAGAAGACGTCTTTGCCACTAAAAAATTATGAAAATATATAAATTAATATCAGATATGTATAATCTGCTTTTACTTATTCAGTATTGACTTGTAAGCACCATAAATAAAGTCAAATGAGGAATGTGAAACAATTACCACTGCAGATTTAAGGCCATAAGCACAAGGCACAACTGCACAAGCCAATCAACACGGATGCCAACTCTTTGGAAATAACTGAATAAGGCTATGGTGAACAAGGGGATTGCGAGTCTTCAAAAAAAATAAGGGGGTTGCGAAAAGACTTAAAAGAGGGTTGCAAGGGTGCAAAAAGACTTGAACACCAGCTTTAGTTAAACTTTTCAGCGTCACAGATATATATGAGTTAAACATGAAAGCAGAGCAGACCACTATAACAATTAATTAGTACTACCTCCCTATACATAGATCATATAGTCCTTGCAAACCACGCATTGATGACTTCCGATTGAAACCAGTCAAAGCACTTAGGATTTAGCAACTACAAAAAGAGAAGAAAGTACAAGAAAGCAAAAGACTGTTAGGCTAAAAAAAGGCAGAGAATCAGTACACTTGTTTCTTCCCGAAACCTCCCCCCCCCCCCCCCCCCTCTCTCCCAGCCCCAAGTTTTCAAATATGCTGGACCTCCTATAAAACTATTACTAAATGGTAAACAAATGAATATTCTTACTCACCACTTTAGCACTTACTACATGCTCTCCTAATCTCCTATACAGAAAATCACACCTAACTACCTAAGATGAAACAAACACATCATGCGTACACAAAGTACACAGTGATCTATATGTACATAGAATTTCAAGTTGTCAAGAACACTGCAAATGGTGGTAAAGCTCAAACTATTGCTTTTCTAATCAAGCCTTCCCAGAAATCGCCTGAGTAAAACTGCTAGTGATATAGTTGTTTTATTTTACACCAGCACAAACTACATTGATTATTCATCTACAAAACAAGTCTACATTACATACTATAAACATCAATATAATAAATGTTTGTTTTAACATAGATGCCGTATGAGTGTCAGACATGAGTATCGATCGAGAATCTGACATGAAACACTCTTTACTTGAAGAAAAGGTGACACAGTTTCAAATGTCCAAATTTGATTTATGGTGTACGGGCATGGGATAAAGTGTATGCAAAACCACCCGATTGGAGTTTCAACTATCTAATATAGATACTTAATTTTAAAAAATACGAAGTACAAGTGTACAACTAGCAAGTAAAACAAAGAAATTTGTGTACACTATACAGTACCCCAAATCCCTAATAATAAACTACTCGCACTACCTTAGGGCATAAATCGTAAATTCAAATTACTGCACTATTAGTCCATCAGACATTAACTGTCTTTTTCAACCCCGGAAAATCCTAGACAATTCTACTGATCCAAATTTAACATTGTATAAGTAGTAAAAGATTTTAATGGTCAGCAGGTCAGGGGTATGATTCATAAAGTGTGCAAAGCTAATTGTCCTAACTAGTTTGGAACAGGGAGAATAGTTCATTGTAACAATTTCACTTTTTCACAATTCATTCACAAACATTAATCTCAATCATTTAATGCTGTAATAAGGGTGATGCAACACTAAATTTTCCCGTAATCTCAAAACATTATGTGTTTATTCAGATAAGGACATTAATACAGTAGTAAACTATACTTAATCAACTACAGGTTCATATGTTAATCAACCCATTTCATCCCTTTTCAATCCTAAGTACATAAATCCCTAATTTTACCTAAAAAAATTAAAATGTGAAATATGAGATTCCAAATCAAAAATGACAAATCAATAAAATCAAATTTTCAAAACCCTCAATTTCTTGGCAGCATGAAATCAAACTCAGCAATAATTCAACAATACAAACAGCAAATAATCACATAATTCAATATCAATCGAATCATAAGTACTTAATCAATCGAGTAATTAGGGTGTTTATGATGATAATTACTTTGGGAAAGGCGGGCGATTTTCCTAGAAGCTTCGTGAATACCCAACCCGATTCGAGAAGCCTTCGTATTGAATTCGGATCTAGTAGACGACGAGGGCGTTTGCTCCGCCGATTGGTTCGCCGTAGTTGGATGAATTCCGGCGGAATTGACGGCGGCGGAAATGCCCTCGATCTTCATCAATGTTTCTGATAATGATCGGAATTCCGCCGTCCGATCTCGATAAGAGGTGATTCTGATGGAAGCCATTGATGAGTTTGGTGGGTAGAGGAAGGAGGAGAAGAGCTGATATTCGGACAAGAGTTTAACAGTTGGAAATGGAAGTTGGGATTTCCCTTTCGATTCCTTTGCCTTTTCCCTTCATCTCCCACCTCCCTCTATTAGGGATTTTGGGTGGCAAAAGAATAATTTTATAACCAACTAATGATTGAGAATTTGAGATCTAATAGACTAGTCGATCATGGGCCGTGTGGCCCATGTCGATTAGCTATCAATCAGAGTTGGGAATAGGTAGAGTGGTATTTGAGCCGAATATAAAAATGGTCTGACTTGTAGCAAGTTTGATATAAGGTTCATGAATAATTGAATATCATTATTTAATTTTGGCAAAAAATTTGACATAAGCATGATATTACAGTCTTAGCTAGGGGTGTACAAAAATTGGCCCGGACCTGAAATCGGACCTGAACCGACCTGAACCGGACCGGACCTGACCCGGACCTGTTGATTCAGGTCCGGTCCCGGTTCTTAAAAATCCAGGTTCCCGGTCCCGGTCCGGACCCGGTCCAAACCCGGGGTTTTCAGGTCCGGACCTGAAACCCGGGAAAATCGTAAAAAAAATAAAAAAAAAATAAAAAAATAAAAAGAAAACCAAACTCTGAAAAATTGAAACTGAGTTTTCGTGGACTTATTTGTATTTTCGGTGGACTCATTTGTATTTTTGGTGTTTGAGAATCGGGACTTTATAGACTTTATGTAGTTTTGTAATTGATAATTTTGGTTTGTATGTAATTATTAAATTATGCAACAGGTCTAAAAATCACAAAACAGGTCCATATGCAGGTCCAACAGGTTTTGTATTAAAAAAAAAACGAAAAAGACACAAAACAGGTCCATTCAGGTCCAAACCCGGACCGGACCTGATTTTTCAGGTCTGGCCCAGAACCGGACCTGTTAATTCAGGTCCGGTCCCCGGTCCTCATAATTACCCAATTCAGGTCCCCGGTCCAAACAGGTCCGGTCCAGGTCCGGTCCGGTTTTGGACCGGTGTACACCCCTAGTCTTAGCAACACATCAACATGCTCGCTGCCCAAAAGAGTTCGTGAACTTAGCTCAACATGTGGTCCAAGTCATGCTTAAGTCTCGAATCGTGAAAGATTAGCACATATTTTCTTGGCTTTCTTATAAGTTCAAATGCTCAATGTGGATAAGTTCATCCACAAGACCTAATGTTAGGCAAGTTTGGATAAGCCCTAATGATTTATTTGGCTATGGATTAATAGGATAATCAAATACACATACATGACCTTTAATAGCCAATATAATCACAATTACATAAGATATATAATTTTAGCCAATCCATTAATGTTTTGGCTATAGAAAGTCTAATGCACATACATGATCTTTGATGGATAATTAGGTATTATACTCACAAATAAGTCTATGTACATAAGAAGCTTAATTTCAACTAATCCATGGATAATTTGGCTATAGACTATCCAATACACAAACATGACTTTTGGTAAATAATTGGACATCTTATAATTGTGGATAATTCCTCTTTTTACAATTATATGGGTGATTTGAAATTTATCTGAGGAAACATATATGATTGCTAAGAGAATTCAATGTCTTTTTACCTATGTACCTTTTATTTTTTTTATTTTTTTTATTTTTACTCTACTTTATTTAATTAATGTAAAAAATAGTACTTATATTAATTAAATACTACTTTCATACTTTTTATTTCATTTCAAACTTGTGTCCTAGCATTATAATACAGCTAATGGAATTAGAAAACTGTTAATGCTAAATTTGTATAAGTTATTTAGACTTTATAAAATTATCAAGGAAAAATGGAATCAATGCATATAAAATTTTACTATATTATTGTGTTAGTATTGAATTTATAAAATATTTTTGGTTTACATAGTTTTTTACACCTCCTAGTACATTATTATATGCTGTAAATCCTAGGGTGTCGATTTGTCAAATATTAGTAAGAACATACACATGCCAATGCGCTCCCTCTAAAAAAATACCCAAGTCATCACAAAAATAATTGTTTTACCAAGTTTACAACTACTAATTGTCATATTTACATAAGATATAAGAATATTTTTTTGTTGTTTATTACTTTTTAGCATGTCCTAGTAAGTTAATTATATTCTATAAATCATAGAATGTCAAAATTATCCAAAAATCCAGTATTATTAACACCACATGCTAATGCGCTTTCTCCAAAAATTACAAAATTAATCATATACTAGTAAATGAAAATCTACCTATATTAATTGTAATATTCCAAAAGAAGGTTGTCCGTACATTTTGGAAAATCTTACCACCAAACCTCTATATATACATTAAACACTTTGGAGGGGCGATCCTAAACACACTATATATTTAGCCCCAAATTATCCTTAGAATGACACTCACCCCAAAGTCAAATTTCTCCCTTTGAATACATAACTTCTTTTGTTAAACAAAACAATTATTTATCAAAAAAAAAACATATGGAAGAAACATTTGTCTTGATAGTGGGAGCGGGTCCCGCAGGACTTGGCATTGCTGCATGCTTAACCAAAAAATTTATTCCCTATATTGTTCTTGAAAAGGAAGATTGTTGTGCTTCTCTGTGGAAGAAACGTGCATATGATCGATGTCATCTTCATCTAGCAAAAGAATTTTGCTCATTACCTCATAAGCCGCATGCACCACAAGCCAAGAAGTATATGAGTAAGAATGATTTCATAGAGTACATTGATGATTATGTTTTAGACTTTGATATTAGGCCGCGATACTTTCACTCAGTTGAATCTGCATCATTTGATGAAGCCAAGGAAAAATGGCTAGTTGAAGCAAAGGACATTTTTGCGAACGCATCTAAATTTTTTGTCGCGAGTTTTTTGGTAGTCGCGACAGGTGAAAATGGCAAGGGTTACATCCCCAATATCCCCGGTTCAAACGATTTCAAGGGAGATATAATACACTCTAGTGAATATAAGTCTGGGCGTGAGTTTCAAGACAAAAATGTTTTGGTCGTTGGTTGTGGTAATTCTGGGATGGAAATTAGTTATGATTTATGTAATTCGGGAGCCAACACTTCAATTATTATCAGAAATCCGGTTAGTTTTTATTATCACAATTTTTTTTATCTTGTGTATATAACAAACACAACTATATTGTACTTATGTGTTGGTTTTGTTGATAATTGGTTCATATAGGTTCATGTGGTTGCAAGAGAAATGATATTTGCAGGGATGCACTTGCTAAAGTACTTTAGTTTACCAATTGTGGACGCTCTAGTCACTCTTGCTAGCACATTAAAATACGGGAATTTGTCAAAGTATGGAATTTATCGACCAAATGAAGGCCCTTTTTTACTTAAGGCAACCAAGGGAAGAAGCCCTGTAATTGATGTGGGAACAATAGCCAAAATTCAATCTGGAGAAATTAAGGTAAATTATTTATTTGTAATAATAATTGGCCATTAAATATTTTAATCAATAATACTATTAATTAAGCATAGTATTTAATTATATTTCATCCCTTGAATAGTTTGTTGTTTCACTACTGTATGGGAACAATCTTAATAACATTATTAAGTTAAATTACTAAGTACCATGAATCCTTCCATTAAAAATTTGTTATTCTATATATGTTCTGATATTTTATATGCACATTTCTCACCTCAATTTTTTATTTGTAAAACATGTAGGTTTTAACAGGAATTGAGAGAATTAACAAGAGCAAAGTCATATTCGAAGACAAAGTTGAACTAAGCTTTGATGCAATAATATTTGCAACTGGATTCAAAAGCATGGCTTGTGAATGGCTAAAGGTTTGTACATTACCTCGAAGTTTATGTAATAAATTAAGTAATAATCCAATCTTAGTATTACACACACATGCACGCGCATAGAGATTAATTATATTATTTATGCACTATTTCTCAATTGGGTTTACCTTAATAAAACCGTAAGTATTATATATTATTATAGCATAGACACTTAATGAAATTGTTTTTGTTTTTTTAGGATTATGATTTTATACTAAAAAACGATGGCTTTCCAAAGAATCATTTCCCAAATCACTGGAAAGGAGAGAATAAATTATATTGTGCTGGATTATCAAGAATGGGACTACAAGGTGTTTCAAAGGATGCCATAGTCATTGCCAACGATATTGAGATGGTTTTAAGAACTATGCTTCGAAACTGAAGAAATTAAAGTTATTACATAAAAACTTAGTGGCTAGTGCTGAATTTTCTATTTTTTTTTATTGCTACTTTGTTCTACCTAGTTTACTTTTTGTATAGTCTCGTTAATGCTTTTATGTACATAAGTGAAAATCTAAAATAAATATACATCTTGCTGTCAAATTCTTCAAAAATTCTCAAATAATGCATCTTTTATATCAAATATTCATTGTCTAACTTGTGCTTTTAGCATTGTATTTAATTTATTCTTAAAAGGATGAAGGAGCTTAATTTACACTAACGTATGAGCCACTTTCTTAGTAATATTTTAAAGGCACATGGATATGTAGGGTTATGTTTAGTTCAAAGTTGATCATATGTGGACACGACCTGACCATTTTGGGTAAGTTTGGGCACAAACTTTTAGGCCCGAAGTTTGGCCCGACCCGACCAGGGAGTTGGGCAAAAATTTTAGGCCATAGCCCGACCTGTCAATGATCATCTCTAGATTAGTTTAACTTATTCAAGTTCATGTTTGATTATTAAATAATTAATTATTTGATCAAAATATATTAGACTACATCAGGATAAGTTGTACTATCTTAATATTTGTGCTTATCCATTGTTAATAAAATTACAAAAAAAAAAAAAAATTATATTTAAAAAGTGCATATTAATGTGAATCTAATGGTTAAACATTAGATCATATCAGGGTAAGTAAAATGAAGCATGGATACAATATAGTCTATTTTATATAATAATAAATATGCCATTGTGCCAACATTTCACCACAAACCTCCAATCCCACATTGCTCAATTTATCTTATAAATAGTTTATTAAAATTTTTAGAATCTCCTTTTAGCTTTCATTTAACTACCGAAAACATTAACTAACTTCAAAAATTGATAACACACAACGACAATATTGGTATGGATAAATTCGGTCATTGAACGAATACCCTAAAGCCAAACAATATTTCTACCTAAGCCAACCTAGCCAAGACAAGTTCATGGTAAGTAAAGGATCGTATCCACAGAGAATGGTTATGAGTACACCCAGGAATATGAAACGGTTGTAAGCTAGTTCGGTCACAAGATTAGGATTTTGATTAATTAACTACTATGGATATAAACACGAGGGGGGGGAATGAGAATCGACACCAACAAAACCAATAGATCACTACAATATGCAAACACGAACTCAAATTAGGTGATAGACAGGACACTCAACATTGTCTTCTTTCGAAGTCACAACAATAAGCATTCCTAAACCAAACTCAACTAACATGATAGGCCAACCAATTTTCAACGATGGGAAGTAGATCACTAACTCGGGTTCGTCTTTCGATCAGTTCAAGTTAGCAATAAGGCACAAGTAATTTGGGATTTCCCACCTAATTATTGCAACTAAGATAGAAATTCGGTATAATCATACAAGAAAATGCTCACAAGTAAACCTCATCTTTCAATGCAAACATATAATTGAAGGCATGATCAATAAGTGGATATCCAATTGCACATGCAATTAATCAATCCGTTAACAATCAATTATCAACCAAAAATAAACATGTAAGCACAAATATTAATTAATGCATGGCTTGGTTGGATCTTCACCCAAACCCTAGCTAAAAGACTACTCACCTGGTGAAGACTAACATAACTACAAGTTCTTCTAGATCTAGCATTAATCTAAAAGGTTGAGAGAAGGGATAAGATGAAAGTAGATTAAACTTGCAACAATAAATAAACAAGATCAAGAGCAGTAAATAACCATTCAAATCAAGTAATAAATCACATAAAAGGGATATAGTAAAAGATAGAGATTACTAAATGAAACTTCAAACTTGAGAGGAATTGTTGAAATTAAGAAAACAAACTTCAATTGATTCACTACATTGATTGAGTTGAAAGAAACTAAGCTAATTAGTGAGAGTTTAGAGTGCTAACTAAGAGATAAAGGCCTAAGAGAACTAAGGGGAAGAAGATCCGTACAAATGAAACTAAAGGGTGTATTTATATTCACAAAAGTTACATATTAAAATCTGTCAAAAAAGCTCAGGCTGATAGTTGGAGTGCTTGCTCGCTCCTAAACATAGGAGCGCCCGCTCCACCTTTGGTGCTTGCCTGCTCCTGCTGGGATGCCCTTTCCTTTTCCTTTTGGCTTTGTCTAATGCTCTTCGAATGCTTAGTTTGCTTATCAACTCTTATTTAAAACCTACCAACATGAAAACACTTACATAAGAGAGGGACTTAAATACCCAAAAACTACAATTATACACAAAATGGAGCTAGAAAGGGAATAAAGAGGGGGAAATGACTACAATATCGTATTAAAAATACCATGATAAGTGGACAAATAAAACACTTATTAGATATAAACTTCAAATGAAGATTGAAGTATTTGAACCGCTAACCTATTATAACAGACCCTTGATCGTAAACTCTAAACAACTACTAGCTCAAGACTTCATCAATTGCAAGAGTATACGATGCTAAGTTTGGTTTACTATTAAGAATTATCATCTTCTAATCTTGAGGTTGGGGGTTCAAACCTCACAAGAGACACGGATGTGAATTTCTTACCCTTTCCCTTCCCCTTCCCCTTCCCCTAACACTCAAAGTATATGACTTGCAAATATCGAATCAAAAAACAATTGGGCCTTAAACTTGTTTTATAATATCCTCTTAAAAACAAATTCCTCCCAATTCCTAGTCCAATTAATTAACCACTTAAAGCCCAAAACAAACAACCCACCCATAACCGTCAGATCAAACCATCAAGAAAACCCAAACCGTCCGATCTAGGTCACATCTAAAATCAATCTCCCTCAAAAATCCGATACTATATAAACACCATCTTCAACTTCGTCTTCTTCCTAGCTGCAAAACCATTTCTAGGGTTTAGTATCAGTAGAATCTCTCTTAGTTAACCTGCAAAATCCCACCGGAGGTTAAAGAGACGGCGTCGTTTCGCTGTCCGCCTTGACAAGCATCACTGTCAGCTTAGTCTTGGCCCTCGATTTTGCCCTTTTCTTGTCTCTTCTCAAAAAATCCCCAAAAAAATCGAGGCAGAAACCCTAATTTTCCAGATTTCGTCGGAAACTTCAACTTAATTCAACAAAAATGGCAGTGAAACCAACCAAGGCTGAGAAGAAGATCGCTTACGATCAGAAGCTATGCCAACTCTTGGACGAGTACAGCCAAGTGTTGATTGCATCAGCTGATAATGTGGGTTCGAACCAGCTTCAAGGAATTAGGCGTGGTTTGAGAGGTGATTCAGTTGTTTTGATGGGAAAGAATACTATGATGAAGAGGTCTATTAGACTTCATGCTGAAAACACTGGTAACGACAACCTGAAAAAGCTCGAACAGTTGTTGGTGGTATGTGTTGTTTTTTCAACAGTTTTTTGGTTATTTTTTTGTGGGATTTGTTTGAAATTGATGAAATTTAACTGGGTTTTGTTTGGAATTTGCAGGGAAATGTTGGTTTGATCTTTACCAAGGGTGACTTGAAGGAAGTTAGGGAGGAGATTTCCAAATACAAGGTAATTTACTATGATTTAGTTGTTTTTTAGTTGATTCTGATTTGATTTCATGCTCCAAGGCTTAATTTTGTTGTTTTATTCTATAATTTCTTGTAAATGCGATGTTTTATTCAGATATTAACTTTGTGCGTTAACTATTAGTTTTGACATTGATATAACACGAACGTTTAGTTTTATTTTCTGTGCTATTTGTTATGTGCTTGTAGTTGTGTTATGTTGAATTTGGGATCTTCATTATGCTCAACTCTGGATAATTTTGCTTATTATAATCAATGTAGATTAAATTTGTAAACCTTTGTGGAAGTTATTCGAAAGGTTAAATATTGGATCTTAGTATCAATATGAGGTTAAACACATTGTATTTATACAAGTATTTGACAATTTGGCGCTAAAAGTTTAATGTATGGTGCTATGAGTATGGACTTGATGTTTTATTGCTACCTGTGGTTGGATTTTTATTAGGTGGTAGTCTTTGTTTGTTGTTCTCCCCCTAATTACATTATAGTTGATACCAGATTCAAGCACCATTATTTGGACGATGTGTTGTACTCGGCATTCCACGAATTAGTTATGTTGGTTTATTTAATGGTGCTTATTTTTGTTACTACTCCTTACTGCGGAGTAGTTTGCCCAGGTTTATCTTGTTTTACAATATTTTGGTGTTCTATGGTGTGTATATAATTTGGTATTCCTCTGTTGAGGTTTTCTAGTTTTCTACTCTTTAATAGTTCATTCTTACATATGTGGTTTGTGCTTATTGATTTTTATGTCAATAACTTGGTCTGCATTTGACAAGTTTTGTTTTGTATGTGTGGTTGTCCATTATGATAATGCTCTCAATGTTCTCAGTAAAATAGAAACTAGACATTCTGTTAGTCTATCGAAGTATGCTTTTGATTTATTTATTTAAAGCTTTGTAGTTAATCTAAGACTTGTTATTCTAAATCATATTTTGATGTGAACAGGTTGGAGCTCCTGCTCGTGTTGGTTTGGTTGCACCAATTGATGTCGTTGTCCCACCAGGCAACACTGGTCTTGATCCATCCCAGACATCTTTCTTCCAGGTTTGTGCAATTGATATGTTTAACGAGTCTTTGTCTCTTAATTATGAAGATTATCTCATTTTGACTCATGCTTCTATCTCCAGGTTCTCAACATCCCCACCAAGATTAACAAGGGTACTGTTGAAATTATCACTGCTGTTGAGCTCATCAAGAAGGGTGACAAGGTTGGTTCATCTGAGGCTGCTCTACTAGCAAAGCTTGGAATTAGGCCCTTCTCATACGGTCTTAACATTGAGTCCGTTTATGATGATGGGTCTGTCTTCAGCCCTGAAGTTCTTGACCTTACCGAGGATGACCTTCTTTCAAGGTTTGCAACTGGTGTCTCAATGGTCACTTCTCTTTCCCTTGCCATCTCATACCCAACTCTGGCTGCTGCACCCCACATGTTCATCAATGGGTACAAGAATGTTCTTGCCATTGCTGTTGCAACTGATTACGACTTCCCTCAGGCTGAGAAAGTCAAGGAGTATCTCAAGGTTTGTTTTCTAGACAGTCATTGGTTTTCATCTTAAAGTAAAGATATAACCTTCTTATACTCTTTCATATTTCTGCAATGCAGGATCCTAGCAAGTTTGCTGCTCTTGCTGCCCCAGCTGCAGGCGGTGCTGCTCCAGCTGCAGGTGGTGCTGCTGCTGCTATTGAGGAGAAGAAGGAAGAGCCTGAAGAGGAATCAGATGATGACATTGGTTTCAGTCTCTTTGATGACTAAGTTTGCTAGTTTCTATGTTTCAAATCTTATATTAGGAGTTGTGTTTCAAAAAAATTGTTATGTTTGATTTTGTCAGCAACAATGTGTTTCACAGTATGATGGATCTTTTTAATTTAGTTCAATTTTGCTCTATCTAGCCTTTCTCATTATTGTCATGCTTGTGTTTAGGCATTTCATGTAGTCAAATATATACCCTTTGTCCGGACAGATAGGCGAATAGACCTTTGGTTTGGCTGTAGGTTTGATTGCCAGTGATTTAAGATGAAAATTCTTCTGAAGAATTATTCACTTGTGATAACAATTATGTAGGTCAATTGACCAGATTGGTAAATAAAAAAGACCTCTAGTGACAATTTGGTAAAAAAACTTACACCGTTTGGTAATAAAAGCTAACAATATGTGATAATTTGGTAAAATTAATTAACTCTGGCGACATTTAGACCAAAAAATCTATTTTTTCCGGATAAACTCTTTAAAAATCCTA